AATTTAAGTCAACAAGGAAGATTTTAAATCCTCTATCCTCCCAAAATGGTCCCTGTTCCAAGCTTTCAATTTTGTCCTTAAATTTCTTAGTTTTTTATGAAATATAAATCCTTTCCACTTCACCCCCCTTGGCTCTTCACTCCACCAACTCTCAACATTTTTTACAAAGTCTGGGTGAGACAACCACATATTCTCAAATCTAAAGGGTCCAGGTCCAGAGTCTAAGGGTTCCTCTCCTAACTGAATAAGGCAGTGATCCGAAGTAACTCTAGGTAACCCTTTAGCCATCAATCCCCTCTATTGATTTTGTTGATAAAATCATTGAATTTCCTCATACTAGTCGTGATGGATTGATGAGGGTTATTTTACTCAGTTGTGAACTGAATAACATTAAAATCTCCACCTAAGCACCAAGGACCTTTCCATAACCCTTGGATGCCATACAACTCCTCCCACAATTCATTTATCTCTCTGTAATTATTGGGCCCATACACATTGGTTAGCAGCCAAGTAAAATCACCCTCCACCATTTTGAATTTCGGAGACACAGAGAAGTTACCTACTAATTCCTCAACTGCTTCTACAACATCTTCTTTCCACAAGGTAATTATACCCCCTGAAGCTCCCCCAAGAGGGAGTTGAAACCCAAATAATCCCTCTTGATTTCCACACACTTCCAACCCATCTTCTATCCATCCCTTCTAATTTTGTCTCTTGTAGCATAACAACATCAAGCCTTTCTCTTCTAAGCATCTCCTTTATTAGTCTTCTCTTCCTTGCACTTCCTAAACCCCTCACATTCCAGCTTATGATTTTCATTACTAAAGAGTAGAAAACCCTCTCAAACACCCTCACCCACCCTTACTTGAGGCCCTTTCTTCTTTCCCCTCAGCCATTGAATTCAATATCACCCTCAATATCTGATATTAGTCTTTCCACCTCTGATCTTTTCTTTTTTTTTCCTACTTTTATCTACTCAAACACTCTCTATTTTCCTTTTCTGTTCCAATTTTGTAGGGGTAACCTCCATTTGCTCTTCTTTCTCTTTATAATCCTCCAAGAGAGCACAAATCCGCTCCCAAATTCTCTCTAATTCTTCTTCCTGTTTCCTTTTCAATAAGACCTCCCCCTCCTCTTCTCCACAACTCTTAGCCACAGTCCCACTCTCCCCTCTATTGGCCATTCCTTCTGGTTGAGAAGCCAAAGTACCTGTTTCAGGCATAGGACCCTTGTTAGTAACAGAAGACAAATCCACAGGCGTACCTGAATCAAAGGGAACTGGTAGAGTGGGAACATGAGCATAAGGTGCTATCGGAGGCATCGAATCTAGGCCTGGTCCCCCTGACTGATTGATCTCTGGAAGTTGTCTAGGTTCAATCAAATCTGTATTAACCAATGCAGCCGAAGGTACCATTAAAGGTTGCCCCCTAATTGGTGATTCTGCATGGCACGACAGTAATGAGTTCTGATCACCTGAGCATGTTGCAGTCCAAAGGAGGGTTTGTTTGTTGGAGTAGATGTCCCCTGTGCAACTTCCGTAATAGCCGTTGAACCCATACAGATCTTATGTGAAGTACAACCTGGCGGGGGGGGAGGGAGCTGCCGCTTGAAATCCTGTCAAAGAGCCACAACTGTCTTCCTCTAGGAGCAGCACTTCAGTGTTTAAACTGTCATCTTCAAAGAGGTCCTTTGTTTGAGAGAGGTCGATACTGCCAAGGCTCAAAGTATCCTCAGTTTCAGAATCAGAATCAGAGCAATCCTCCTTGTCAGACGAAAGATTCAAGTCAAATTTCTCTAGATTACCTCTTTTGATAGAGCACGGATTACGATGATCAGGAGATGATCGTTGAGGTTTTTTCACTAGAAGCCACTGTAGAGAGCCAGCCAACTGAGTAGGAAACTTCGAAACAGCAGCCTGGGAAAGATTCTTCGCAGAGGTCGAAGAGCTTGAGGAAGACAACGATAGACAATTTCTGTCATCTACCTTAGGTCTATCCCCAGTCACATGAGTCTTTAAAGGCTCATGCGCCTTTTTAAGTAACTGGGTCGGGCCCGCTGACCCGTTTGGGTCTTTACTAACACTTAGTTCCCTCAACATGGGCTTTAGCTTATTACTTGGCCCATTCTTAAAAACCTGTGGCTTCACGTGACATTTAATAGGGTCACGCAGCGCACGTTCAGCCCACCACTCGGTTTAGTTTTATCAAACCTAGGTTCAGTTCTTCCCTGAACCAACACCTTCTCCTTGTTTAAGAATGCCATATTGGCGCCAGCTACAACCTGTGCAAAAGTCTAGCCGCCCTCCAGACTGTTTTCTTCTTCTACACGCATAAGACCTTCCCCCTGAGTACTACCTTTTTGTTTCTCCAGCATTTGTTTTTCCATTTTAGTGAAAGTGCCATTCTTGTTTGAACCATCCAGTCCTTTATTGCCACGCAATTCTTCTTCTTCAACCTTCTCATCTCCCTCCCTACGAACCTCTTTCCAAAGCTCAGATTCAATGGATGAAGCCAGCCACACTGAGTAAAATTGTCCTTCCACTCGCACCTCTATCTTTCGAGGAACCTCCTCAGGTTTTACTCCATTCAATAAAATGGAAGCTGAAAAGAGATCTCCCCAAAATACACCTCCTAGTGATCCTCCAAACATCAGAGCAATGGCTTCAGCAGTTTCTTGCTTCCACAAGTGAAAGGGAAGACCTAAGAGACACACCAGCACTCCATCTTCAACAAAGAAATCTTTGGAGTTTGATCCTGGACACCATCTTGACATTGTGAAATTTCCAAGTTCAGCTTGGATATTTAAAGCCTCAGCTTCTACTCTATTCTCAAGCAAGTCCAGCAAAGCCTTGTCTTTCTCAAAGGGTGTTAATATAAATGTACTCTTCAACTTCAAGTTTGCTGTTAACAAATCTGCAACTTTCCTCCAATCTAGAATCCGAGCTGAAGCTTTAACTATAAGTTTACTTTCCCAATATCCTCTCTGTAGGTTTACTCCCATTCTGTGTTTACCTGCTCCAGCTGTCACTATAAGAGTCTCTTGCTTATTATTGCTCTCCAAGCTAGTAGAACTGCTTATCTTCCTTTTTTTCTGTTACTTCTCTTTTAGCACCCAACCATTGCAGCAGTTCACATAATACCCCATGAACTGCCTTCCAGCCCTGCCTTTTCCTTCCCTCTGGGAAACAGACCATCTGCTTCCTACCCTTGCAAAAAAATTCTGTCAAAGAAATGAAAAAGCCTTTAGAATTTCTCTTACACTCTACTACAAATCTTCTTCCATTTTCTGAGAGAAACTCTTTCCAACTATTTTGTTTGCCTTTATTACTTGCACCTTCCACAAACTCCCTGAGCCCTTCAATCACCCCCAAACCTTCTAACAGCACCATCCCTTTCTTTGCTTCCCTGATTTTCAAGCTCAACTGACCTTTTAATCTCTGTTCCTCAAATAGGAGCTCCTTAGCTTCAACCTTCAAAGTTCTTTTCCAACGGCCTACCTCCACAAACTCTCCCATCTTCTTCGCCAAAAAAATCTATGATGTTGTACCAATTTATGTTATAATACTATCTCTTGGACTCCTGCTTAAAATCACAATTTCAGACATGAAGAATTAAAATCTCCATGATTTCTGATGTTCAATTTGATAACCATGGCATGCAAGATTATAGCACCATCTCAATCAACAAGTGAAAAGAACCCCATAAATTTAAGACATTATGATCAAGGGGGACTCACACATGATCGCATTTTTTATGTTGATTGTCATTTCATTAGTGATCAATTTGTAGCAGGGACAATGATGCTTCCACACATTTCATTTGAGCTTCACCTGGCTGATATCTTCACTAAAGCCATGGCTCGTTTGTGCCAAGACCCATAAGTTCCTTGTGGGAATTGATGTTGTGTGAGTAATCAAAATATGGTTATGTTTATTTCTTTATGGTGATTTCTTATCACCATTGTGTGTATTTCCATTCTCTTATTTAATAAAATTTTTACTTTAAAATGGTTATCATATTCTTGATACTGCATAGGAATTCTGAATTAAAGGTACTGGAGCTTAGAAAAACAAGATTAAACTTCAACTATTGAAACCTAGGCAATCTGGGCAATACAGGAATTGGATGAGTTGTAAAGGATAACAGGAAAATATTTTACTCATACTTATAAAAGAATAAACCTTTTACTAACCTTTTAAGTGGTCATTAATGGGCTGATTTCAGGGAAAGGGGCACCTTGGAAGTTATGATTTCTTTTGAGAGAAGCTATAGCTTTGCCTACCAACCTGAAAACTGCTCATTCTGATGGATTCTAGAACAGCAAATAACTTGGTAGGTTCATTAGCAGGATTTGGGTTCTCAAGGGAGTGTCTTTTCTGGGGACCACCTGGACCAGGGGAAACTTTAAAAGTACAACTAGAAAAACTGAGAGTGGTTAGCAAAATGCTATTCTCATAGCTTGTTGTTCATTCTTCTGAATAGCAGAAAAAGATTATTTTTATTAATAAAATTTATATTCATTATTGCTTATAAAAGAAAGAAAAGACGTTGGAAGAATACACAGATGACTTTATAAGAAATGAGAGCACTTGCTAAAGGATAAAGTAGGAAAGGATCCATCTTGCTTGCAATGTTCAAAACTTCAATCAACTGTTAAACATATCATATGTATGTGAATAAGTAGATGGTAACTCCATTTATCAACCTGGTCAAAATGTTGAAGCCATATTTCAGGGTTATCTAAGCATACATCCTCTTCTGAACATCTAAAAGAAATTAAATGCATACAATAACCAACAAGGTGAAAGTATTGCCTAGAGAGGCTGGGGACCCAGTAGTGGAGTCATTGCAATTTTTGTCATACATGTGCAACACGAAAGAAGAATGGCTTCTTTGTGTAACAGGAATTGCTCTGTATTTGTCACATGGTGTTCAAGAGGAAATTACTTCAAGTTAAAAATGAAAGAGAATCAAGACATGGGACGATCAAGAAATATTTACCTCATTAGTTCTTCTTGCCGAGGTCCTTTTCTAGATACACCATTTCTGCAAGTTTGAAATTCAAAACATTCTTAATCAGTATTAATGAACAGTATAAGCAGCTTCTAGTAATAATGAACGGTATAAGCTGCTTCCAGTAATCAATGTACCTGCAAATTAAAATCTTGAAGAGATGTAGAGACTTGGTAGACAAATTATAAATTGCATCTGCAATTTGCTCCTTTCCAAACAAGTACACTACCGGATAACCAAGAAGCCATCTGAACAGAATAGAAATACCCAGTTCTAAAGAAGCCATCTGAACAGAATAGAAATACCCAGTTCTACTGTTATCTGATAAAGATTACAAACATATAAAAAGTAAATTATATGGTTGATATGGTCAGTCCACTAACAAAATACAAAAATGCCAATTACCACCCTTCTGCATCTATGGCCTGTCAGCTTACTGATCTAGTTCATTCAATTAATGAGCCAGCACCTAAAAACAAATAAATGAGAGAAAAACCAGCTATTCTGTATGGAGCAGAGTGTCTGGGCGCCCAGAAACATGTCCAAAAGATGAGTGTGGCACAAAAAGCATATTCTGAGATGGATGAGTGGAAAAACTAGAAAAAAAATAGCATCAGAAATGAAGTCACTTGGAGGAACCGAGGAGCAGCTCCAATAGGTGATAAAATGAGAAAGTAGACTAAGAAAAGTCTTCTTTTTGGAAAATTGTATAAAGTATTTATCTTTCCATGGAAAATTTCCCAACAAAAAGCACCAATATTAGGTGGGACAGGTCTGCACCAAATTCTTTACAAGGCTGAGAGGGGAGGGGAGAAATAGCACGAAGAGGAGAAAAAAGAGGCACAAGAGAACAGGCCATTGGGACTAGGAATCCAAATTGGATTATCAGGTTTACAGAGGTCCAAAGAAACAGGATCAAGAGACCACAACAACAAAGCAGCCAGTCCAACCCTCTCCCATAGTTTTCAAGGTGCCAAGGTGAGGCTAAGCGACCAGGGGGCACCTTGTCACCTAGTCGCCTAGGCGATGGATTTTTTTATGTAGAAAACATAGATCATAGGGTAGTTCCCTAATTTGGATTTCCTATAGTAGTAGTAGTAGTTGTGAATCCCCAACATTGCTAAATGCTGTATTGGGGGTTCAATACAGCATTTAGCAATGTTTATATTGATTAAACCTTAACAAATAAGAAAATAATAAAAAGAAATTAGTATATAAACACACAAAATGAATATTTTAGTTTAATAGTGCCTACTTTATAATTATAATGTCAAAAAATAAAGAATAAAAAAGTATTTTTTAATACATAGTACAAAACTGTTTGGCGATTAGGCGAGGCAAGCCTCAAAGGGCGCCTTGTTGCCTAGGCATCGCCTTGACAACTATGCCCTCTCCTAAAACCTAGGAATCCAAATCCAAGTCTCAACCCTCTCCTAAAACCTAGACTCCAACTTAAACCAATCACAAGGGAAACTAAAACAAATCTTTTTGTACATGTTCCTTTTTGAAAAGGGAGAGAGTACAAGGAGGGAAAAAGATCCCCAAGGGATAAGTTGTCAATCCAAACATCTTCCTAGAACAAAAATTTGTCTTCAAAGCATGCATCATATCTAATATGACTAAGAACTGAGGAAGTACTGCATGAATAGCCTTCCAAGGTGTCAGTGTTGCCCGCGGAGACATACCAGCATCCCAACCATTGCCTTCTATTCGTGTATGCCCTCCACCACCTGAAGCCACAATCTTTCCCTTTCTAGAGGCCATCTCCATAGCCACTTACCAATGATGCTGTCTTCTTTCCCAAGTTACCTATGCCCAAACCCCCTACTCCTCCTCTTACAAGCAATTTTCCACTTGACCAAATGGTCCTTCCTATCTTCACTTGGGTCCCACAAGAAGTCTCTCATAATCTTTTTTAGCTTCAATACCTCCTTTTGAGGAACTCTAAAGATAGAGAGGTAATAAATTTGCAGCTTAGCTAAGGTAGATTTTATTAGGATTATCTTGCCTCCCAAAGAAATGTAACTCCTTTTCCAAACAGCCAACCTCTTAGCACACTTCTCTACAATTTGGCTCTAAAACTTGCTCTCCCAAGGGTTATCTCCTAGGCTCATACCTAAATATTTCAAACGCCACAAAAGCAATGGTATACCCTAAAGAAGCTGTTATAGATCAATGTTTTAAAAAGTGGAGGCGTGACACAAAGCCTTCCACTAAACTAGAGGCATGAAGTGTAGTTCAAAATGTAAGAGGTGTAAGCCTCCTTAAGAGGAGAATGAGGAAGAAGAAGAGGAAGGAGCTTTTCACCTTTTTTTCTGTTTTCTTTATGAAAGACGTCTTATATCAAGAAGAATGAAGATGCATAACACTAGTTGCAGGGGGGGGGGGGTCTTTTCAATAGGGGTCTACACAGGTTGGGCCAGTTCGGTTGCAGCTGTTTGGCCAAATGAACTGACCTGGTTGAGTTGAGAAATTGGCCATCCGAAACCGGTTGACCATGAGTGAAAACCGAACCAAACATGAAGAGTTGGTTTTATGATATATAATTATATATACTATATAATATATTAGCATATGAACATAATCGAGTTAGGACGATTTTTGTTGGTTTATGCACAACCAAACCGAAAACCACCACAAATTCTCAGGTTGTCCTATTTAAGAAACCGAAACCGACCGGTATTGTATGAAAACTGGCCAATGCAAATCGAGTTGGGTCGGGTTGGTCGGTTTGGTCAAACTCCTAAACAACACTACTTTTCAAGGTCATATTTAGGCCTGAAATCGGATCGGATGCAGCTAAAATCGAGTTCGATCCAAATGATAATTTATAACATCCGACTCCGGTCAGAAATTCGACCGGATGTTTGAACGTTGGATTCGAATTCAACTCCAATCAGATTTTTGGATTTCAAATTTTAATTTGAGACCGATGGTCTTCAAGCAGGCCATGAACAAACTCTGTTTCTTTCATTCATTTGTGGAATGTTTATGCAGATCTCTCATGAGACATTTTCCTGAAACTTTTTTTTTGCTGGATAAATAAAATCATTCATTCAACAAGACATCGAAACACACTATTTTACTTCAAACAAATACACTCAACGACACACCAAAACATATTACCATCCATTACTCTATTTGTTTTCAGTGGAGTGCAAGGCAAAGGTTTAAGGTTTGATTACCTGTTTTGGTAGTAACAGAGAGCAAGCTGCAGCGACCAGAAAAAGCATTACAATCCACCAATCCAAATCCACAACTATCACCATGGCAATGGAATAACAGAGTTCACCTTTCACAGTCGTCGGCCAACCACGAAAAGTAGAGTTGCAGATTTATGGTGGCAAGGGGACAAGAGTTTTAGACTTTGAAGAAGTGGAGAAACAAACAGATGCAAGAGGGCCAACCACGAAAAGTAGAGTTGCAGATTTATGGTGGACAGGGGACAAGAGTTTTATACTTTGAAGAAGTGGAGAAACAAACAAATGCAAGAGGACAAGAGATATAGACTTTTGAAGAAGAAGAGAAGAAAAGTAGTCTCTGTGAAAACCAAAGAGGGTTTTGTGCTTTGTCTTTTCCATGGTTAGCTTTCTGACAAATCTGAAATAGCAATAATGAAATATAGGGGAATGAATTTCCTCATTTGCCCTTAAAGATATTATAAATTACATTATACAATTATAATTTAAAAAGGAAAGAGGGTACTAGAGAAGTCGGATTTTATTGGATCGGATGCAATTAAATCCGAATTTGATCCGATTTTTAATCGGATTCTAATAGTTGCATCTAAATCCAATCTGAATCTTTATAATAGTGCATCTGAATCTGAGATAATCAGATCAGATGTCGGGTCAGGCTGCGGACTTTTGGGTACTGTTGACAGGCCTAGTCATATTTACATTTTACAGTTTTACACACAAATCCTTTCTTCCTCGATCTCCTCATTTCGTCCACACACTCATTGGCTATCAAAATTTGGTCAATTATCTATCTATCTTGGATGAAAGCCCCCAAAGGTTGACTAGTTATGGTTGGAAGGGTCTGAAGTCCTTTGGCTAAACAGCATCTACGTATGGCTTATTTAGAATTAGCACCATGAAAGTAGTATTAATGCCAAGGCTAATAAAATCCCTCTATCAGCAAATTCATTGAACATCTCAGAGAGTTCATTTTTTATTTTATACCAACAATCCTGACAAAAAGTCATAGTGAAGCCATTTGGATGTGGGGCCTTAGAGGTTAGAGCTATCTACTAAGAAAATAACCACCATAAATTCCTCCAAGTCAAAGTTACCTTTCAGTAGTCTGGCCACTTTTACATCCAGCACTGGCCACACTAGACCTTTCATGTTAAGCCTATCCCCTTATTGTCTTCTATAAACAGATTTGAAATGATCTACAAAAGTCATTGTAATCGACTCCTAGTTCAAGATCAACTCTCCATTCACCTCAAGTTTTTCCACGAAATTCTTCCTCCTTCCATTTGTGATTGCATGAAAAATTTTGATATTACCATCCCCCCCCCCCTTGATCCATTTGTGCCTTGATTTTTTATCTCTTCCCTGAAGAGTTTTTTTCCCAATTCCTTCTTCAAGCTCCATCTCAACTTCCCATTCTCCCCATTCAAATTGCCTTGACTCTCCTTCTCATCCAATTGCTCAATTTGTGAATTTGCATTTATCTTATTTTCTTCTATTCTTCGAAAATGCTCTCAATTACATTCCTTAATCTTACCTTTTAACCTCTATATCTTTCTATGGGACCTCATACCTTTCCAAGTTACTCCCTCAACTCTTCCTTCCACCAATCTTCCACCTTATGGACAAAATTTGGATGGGTAAGCCACATATTTTCAAACCTAAACAAGATGGAACCATTAAGAAAATCCTCTGTTCCAATTCTAACCAGGCAATGCTCAGAGGTTATTCTTGGAAAATTCTAGATACCAATCCTTTCCAATGTTACTCCCATTCAAGGTTGAAAAAGAATCTATCCAACTTTGAACAAGTAAAGGAAAATTGTAAATTAGATCACATAAATCTTTCTTCTTGAAAGGAAAGCTCCTTCAATTCACAAACATCCACAAACTCATTAAATTTCCTCATGCCAGTAGGAGCATGTTGGTTGAGGTTCCTCGTTTCATTGGTGAACCTAATCACATTAAAATCTCCCCCTAAAGACCACAGACCCCTAATGTCAAACAGTTCCTCCCACATCTCTCTTGTAAATTATTGGGCCCATGAACAGTAGATAACACCCAAGTAAAACCATTACCAGCAATCTTGAACTTCAAAGATATTGAAAAATCTACCCACTGGTTCCTCCAATGACTCCACCACATTGTTTATCCACATTTGAATAACCCACTGGACCAAGAAGGCAGGCAGACCATCTAATACCCCTAGAAGTCCATACACTCCTCACCCACCTATATCCAATTCTGCTAACTCTGTTTCCTAAATCATTAGTTCATTACTATATCTGGCCTCTCTGTCTTCAAAAATCCTTAATCACCCTATTCCTAGCAGTATCCAGTCCTCTAACGTCTAGATGATGATCTTCATGACACTTTTTTCATAGACCCTCCTCAAACCCTAATCTCCTATTTTGTACCCTTTCTTCTTTCCCCCCTCTCACTAAATTCTATGTCACCTTTGACCTTTCACATCTGATCTTTATATCTCCACTACTAAATCTTGTTGTCGTCATGTAATCCATCTTTTTATTTATAAAGTTCCATCTAATTTTGCTGATAAAGAAAGGTCCACCTAATTTTCCTCTTCTTTCTTCTTTTAGGTTACTTCTTCCTTTTTTTTCTGCTACTTGAGCTATGCCAACATTTTTCCCTGAAACAAACTTGAAATCGAAAGACAACCCATTGGGATTATGGGACTAATTCTGAAAAAAAAAATAATAAGTAGATGATCTCCTACAATACTATTATGTGCATGGCCAGCTTGCATTAAATAACCAATAAATTATTGGATGCCATGAAGAAGAAGAAGAAGAAGGAAATTACCCGTTTAGGGTTGGCAAGGTGACCTGACTGTTTCGTATGCATCCACTGAGATCAAAAAGAGATGATTGAGAAGAAATCAAATCAGAGGTTTGAGAATTCTTGTCATCCCCATGATCTGTCCCCTTACAATGCATGAGTTCCTTGCCCATTCCATCAACAGGAAATACAGATGCAAAGAACCTCTGAATCAACATAAATTGCGTTGTGATTGAATTTTGTTCCCCTGGCAACATCATCTAGACCAAAGATGGAAAGAGTGGCTTAAACAAAAGCAAAACAAGACACATGCTAAGGAGCAGAACGTCTAGATCAATAAATAAAGATACCTTCAGTAGAAATTCACCTTTGGAGGATCCTGTTGAAGGTCTACAAAGAGAATTTTTGTCTCTGACTTTAAGCTTGATTCCACATATTGAGCAAATCCTCTAACATGTATCAGATAAATCATATCTTCTAGAACCATTATTTTCAATGACCCTAAAATAGATGACTCCTGCAAGAATAACCATATAAAGAAAGCCAAGGCGGTAGGTATATAAACTTCTTTTATATGTTTAATTTGTTTTCAATATCACAGTTCACAAACTTTCAATTTCTTTAGTTCTTTCCTAATTGCACTATTTCAAATAGACAATAAGATGTTAAACATATTTGATTCGTAATCTAATGGACCACCTTTGTACCAAGCCCCTTGAGGCAAGCCCAAACAAAATCTAATGGGCTTGCCTCAAGGGGCTTGATTGGGGGTCTAGGGCCAGTGCCCCCAGTCCAGCCACCATGCTTCAAAAAATACAAAAAAAAAAAACAAAATTTAATAAAATAAAAGTGTGCCAGAGCTGAGGCACAAAGCACACCAGACACACACCTAGGCACACTAGGCATGCACCTTTCCAAAGGGGCTGCACCTGGGCCTAGGTGAGGCATAGACTCTCAAATGCACCTAGTGTGCCTTTTAAATCACTGACAGAAACATCAAAAATGTTTCTGTTTTTGTTTTACAGAAACAAGACAAACATCTCAATACTTTTATTAAGTAATGAAGACTTAAGCCACTGTATAAAATTGTAAAAGGAATGATACAGATTACAGATCACATAAACTGATTGAAGCAAACAGAATAGAAGGTAACAAAAAGCAAACATAAGGCAAGGATTATAAACAAGAAGTAAAGGCATACAACAAAGCATGGGAAGAAAATATCTTACACTCTATATAACTAATTTTTACTAGTTGGATTAACTTATCTTCTAGTGGACTAAAACATAACCAAGAATGCTCACCATAATGCTAGAGATATGCATCTGAGTAACATGGGCAAAGATATAGACTTCCTAGTGAGTTCAAATTATAAGACAGGAAAGTGGCAATTCAGAAAAGAATAGGTGGCCATTTTACGATGGCTGAAGTGGCTGAACTGAATGGCTTATTGCTTCTTCTTCTTTTTATAGTGGATAAAATAATCATATAATAAAATATTAAGGGTATAATAATCAACTCAATATGCCATTCATCCATTAAGGTGCTTACAACCTACTTATTGATTTATTCATTAAAAGAAAAGCAATAAATCATCTAGTTCAGCCACTTCAGCTGTCATCAAACAGCCCCTAAAAGTTAGAATAAAACTATATTATTTTATTGTGACTTGAAGACCAATATGGCATAAAAATCAAATAAAAAAAATTACTCATGAATCAGCACTGAACGTGCTAATATAGTTTCCATCAAATGATGTAACAAGCTGCTTTAATGTCGAACCTTTTGGCTAAGTTCTAAGACGGTGCAAAGCCGATCTTGCAGTTCAGGCATCTTCCCCCCATAGTCCACCATTACTACCGGTCTCAAACCTGTGCATAAGGCTAGGATATCTGCCAAAGAAAGAATTTTAAATTACACATGAACAACACCATAAGGGAAGACTGGAGGAGCTTTCAGTATGTCTCCATGCATATTACAATACCCAGAAATTAAAACTTGAGCAGATATGTTTTGCATTTCTTCAAAGTCTGCAGCTGGCCAGACCAAATTAGTCTCAAATCAAGAGAAAAGAACTTCAATCGAATCAATCCATTAAATATTACTACATCCATTGCTCTACGTGCTTTAAGACAATAGAGCGTCGGCACCAGAATCATAGAACTAAAAGGAAAAGAAATGAAAATAAAAGAATCCAGATAAATATAATCAAGTCTATGCCATAGCCAGAAGCTCAAGTCAATAAAAAGAAAAGGAGATGATCAATAAAATGAAAAGCACGTAGAGCAATTACCTATCTCGAGTCGACGCTTTGTCGCTGCTCTTAGTCTCCATTTAATCCGCGAGACGGAAGAGTCCAAAACCCTCAAAGCTTCCTGTAGTTCTGCAACCTCCATCCACAGAGATTCGACGTCTCCAAAGCCCAAAGCAGCAACGAAATCAGAATGTCAGACTCCAACAAAATTTACGCTTCAACGAGATCGAACCTTCCGTCACGTTGAACCACCAAAACCTGGATGTTCAGGGTCGAAGGTTGAACCACCCACTATAAATGGTTCAACTTGCCACGTCATTAAATGCGTCTGATCCATTTATTTGGTATCTTAATTCTCGTTGAGCTGAGCATCACTACGAAGTTACGCCTATGCTTTGGAAACCGGTTTGTCCATGAATAAACCGGAAGTGGTTCGATCCGTAAACGGCCTTCATAATAGGATGGCACAATTGTAGTTTTGGTCATAACTTCAATAAAACATTTTGAAAATGACCTCTATATCCTAATAGTTACAGGCTTAACCTTAAAGAATGAGGAGAAACGAAGGAGATGCTTCAGAGTAGAGAAGTGTGTTTTCTTTCTGATGTCATTGTTGATCCGAGCCAAAATCTTAAGATAAAAAAGCCATCTTCTCTCTTTGAATCGAAGAACATCTTTCCACGTCGCAGGCAAGTTTTTCTTCTTTTTCTTTTTTTTTTTTTTTCTTTTTGTTCATTGATGATTATAAATAGAAATGGGGCCATTTTTGGAAGGATTGGATGGAAATCCACATATTGGCTCTGGATCTACTAGAGAGATCCTTGTTTGGAGATAATTTTTTACCATTCTAAGTATAAACCAGGCTGTTCTCTTTGACGTGTAATAAAATGACTTATGCGACGAGAAATTATTCATGTGCTTAGGGTATTTTTGATGGTTTGAGTTGTGATGATATACGGTGCTTGTTTATGAAATCGATGGGAGCTTGACGTTCCAATCAGACTTCTTTCGAAACATTTTGTCTTGCTTATTTTTATTCCTTTCAGGACAGGTGTATCCCAAACTAAGCTTCAGGGTCTGATGTAGTTAAGAAACTGATGGAAAAAGGGATTATGTCCTTTCACTCAGTCTTAGACTGAGATAGATTTTAATGGGTTTATTTGAGGTATTTTAGGGTGACTGAGTTAGGACTTTTCTGTATGGATTTTGTCTTTATTGGTATCTATGTATGTTTAGCATACTCTGTTTATGTTCGAATTTATGCTACAATGATTTATTCCTGATCCACAAATCTACCTGCTTTACTCTACAATCTGCTTGTAGCTTAATTAGATTAGGAGTGAATTCTACAAATCCACCATCCATGTGTTTCTAGTTTGTACTATTGATATTACCTTCCAATTGGGTGTAACACTCACCGCCTACAAAACAAGAAACAATATTCCTTTTGATCATTTGCAAGGGCAAGGAGATCTTAATTAATACTAAGTGAACTACAGTAGATCAACTTTTAATCTGGGAGAGCACCACTACAAGTACAGAAAACTAAATACAACAACAAACACATTTTGTCAACCATCCTACATTCATCTTGTTACCATTCAGTACTTCTCTTCTTCATCAAGTCCAGAAGGCCTAAAGTATATATCAGTTGCAATTCCTGGAGTAATCTCTTCTCTGATGGACTCATTCCTATGGGTCCTGATTAGGCTAATATTGTGCACCTAGCATAGTCTGTAAAAGCACCTGCTACTCCCTAGTTAAAAGATCCCCCATTTTTTTGGTAAGTAACAGTAAATTCATTAATCAAAAACTCCTGACTGCCCCATAAATAAGACAGTAGGCCTGGAGAGATATAAAGCCAGATTAATAGAAAAATCAACACTATTCATTCAGTGATTTGGTTTTTCATTTGATTGATAATATTAACATGCTTGTGTTTCATTGAAGGGCCGCATGATATGAAAGTGTTGTCATGTGAACTCATCATTCAACATGTTAGGCTACCCAGGTATTCTAAATTGTCATAGTAAGGTAATGGACCCTAGGGGCAATCTGTATTTTTTCATATGTTATCAGGTTGTTAGTGTGTCATTTGGGGTAATAGCATGTCTGTGTTTCATTGGAGGGACGCATGGAAGTGGTGTGGTCATGTGAACTCATAATTCAACATGTTAGGCTACCCAAGTATTTCTAATAGTAAGGTAATAGACCCTAGAGGCAATCTCTATTTTTTCATATGTTAGCGGGTTGTTAGTGTGTCATTTGGGGTAATAGCATGTTTGTGTTTCACTGGAGGGACAAATGGAAGTGTTGTGGTCATGTGAACTCACCATTCAACATGTTAGGTTGCCCAGGCATTTATTTCTAAATTGCCATAGTAAGGTAATAGACCCTAGAGGCAATCTCTATTTTTTCCTATGTTATTCTTTAATGGATCAAATAAGATTCGGTACTTTAGAGGACCTATTTGTTTGGTGGCTATAGACTTCTACTCAAGCTTAGCCATTCTCTAATTTCATGGTTCTTCTATGGTTTAAACTGTAAAAAAATTTCTACATCTTCAAAATTTCCTTGTCTTCTCACTTATACATGACTGTTCTCTATGCTAGTTGTTGTTTTTAAGAGGAAAAATGTGATTAAACTAAGATCTATGGAAGAAGAACTCTGTCTCTTAAAATAATGAAGAATCCATGTCCCTAAAAATAATGACTATGAAGCTTTATTCCTCATTCTGCAATCTTCCTAGTTGGCATTTTATTTGTAAGTTTACACGGGAGTTTTGTTTGTTATACAGGATAACTTCCCCCTTTTTCTTCTTCTTGTCTTGCTGATATCCCTAGAAAACTTGATCTGATTCTATTATTCTTTGTTTTCTTTCATATTTCAGGGATGTATACTAGCCCGGGAACCCAGCCTGGGGTGCCAAGGCCCCCTGTAAACCCTCAACCTAATCCATTTGGAAATGCTTTCTATGGAGCTGGTTCAGAATTCATTCGAAGTGGACTGGGTGCATATGGAGAGAGAATCTTGGGCTCAAGTTCTGAGTATGTGCAAAGCAATGTATGTAGTATGCTGAGACTAGACAACTACTTTATCTCCTGGGAAAAATAAAAAAGCAGAAAACAGGGGAAAAGAAAGGGAAATATTCACTTCTTTCAACATGCTTTGACAACTTATTGTTTTTTTTTTCTTTGATAGATAGACAATCTTTTGGCTTCATGCACTGATTTCATAGATACATAGGATACATGGGAAGAACTTTTTTATGATTGCACAGACCCTAAAGACCCATTCTCTTGCATCCCTTTGACGGAGAATTACCCTCTTTTTCACAGGCCTAGTTTGTTAAATCAATAAACCTATGTGCCTTCTGTTTTCTTTTTATCATCCCAATGTTCATGAGTCTTCAGATCCTTCAAACCAAGTATTTCAATGAGATGTCCTGGAGCATTTGTTTTATTGTTTTTTAGGGTATAGGCATGGGAATTATTAACTGCATCAGTAGCCCCTATGTATCAAGTCACTCTTTGGTGGATGTGAGATAATATTTACCTATTGTATACAAGATACTTTTTATTTAAAGATGGTTTTTTTCTTACATTCTTCCCATATGTTGTGCAGATAAGCAGGTATTTCTCTGATCCCCAATACTATTTTCAAGTGAATGACCAGTACGTGAGGAACAAATTGAAGGTCATCCTATTTCCTTTCCTATACAGAGTATGTCAGAATTTTCTCTAGATGTTTGGTAGTGCTTTATTTCTTAAAGTTGGTGAAGGTCATTTATCTCATTCATTTCCTCCAGGGACACTGGACAAGGATAACTGAACCAGTTGGAGGTCGGCTCTCCTACAAACCACCGATTTATGACATCAATGCTCCAGACTTATACATTCCCTTCATGGCCTTTGGTACCTATGTGGTTCTTGCTGGTTTCTTAATGGGTCTTCTTGGGAAGTAAGCCCCGCACGATTAAGCCTTTCTAAGGATTACTGTTCCAGAGGTTTTGTCTTTAACCCCACAGTTCTTTTTCTTCTTGGCCCCCCATTTTTGGCAGGTTTAGCCCAGAAGCCCTAAGTCTACTTTTCACATGGGGACTAGGTGGTTGGTTTGCACAAGTTTTGGTTCTTAAATTAATGCTGTATACATTAGGAAGTGGAGAAGCCCCATTGCTGGACATCGTGGCATATGGAGGGTATGCTTTTGCAGGGATTTGTGTGACTATTCTTGGAAGGATCATCTGGAGCTACTCTTACTATTTCCTGATGGCATGGACAAGCTTGTCCATGGGAGCTTTCTTGGTGAAGACAATGAAGAGAGTTCTGTTTGCAGAGGTGAGGAGTCATGTTTCAAGCATGCATAACTATTGCTTGCTCATACTGGCGGTTGCTCAAATCCCATTGTCTGTTTACCTAGGCTGGATCTAGGCTTGAATCTGGCTTTAGTGCTCTTGTTTATCCTGTGCAAGTGATGTTCATGTTGTAGTTTGTAACAGTGCTCTATTCATTAATGCGTTGATGGTTGTTTAGCTTTCTGGTTTATTTGGCCCGGGTATGGATTCTGGATTCGATGTATTGATTGGTACTGGGTTTATCAGTGCTTTTGGTCCTGGCAGTCTAGCCCTAATCGGAATTCTGAAGGAAATTCACTGTGGACAAACTAATACCAAGGTTCAAAATATCAATACGCCCAATATGCTGGTAGAGGCATATTGGTATTTTTTTTAATTTTTTTTTCAAATCCAGTTCAGAGGGGCCGGTTTAAGGTCCATCCACCCCCTGAACTGGTCAAAACCCCGATACACCTTCTGTAGGGGTGTATCAGGAAGCTCCCGACACATTTTGATCCTTGGCTGATACACAAGAATTGAAATAGGAATATGCACAATATATCATTTACAGTCAAATGGTCTTGGAGAAATTTCTCTCTCTGTTCCCGGTATTAAGAACTCGTTCCCAAATTACTTGTTTAGAAAAAGTCAAAGCCATAAGTAATTCAGTACAACTACAGCCAATTCGGCTGTTATCAGTGGCCAAGTTGATTTCAGGAGGGAAAGTTGCCATCAACAAAATATGTAGCTAGCGATGTCAATGGATCGTGCTTGGTACCAAACATGCTCTGCCCTGTCAAGTGTAGGATTGCAAATGGATCGGATCGGATTGGATTCGGTTAAGAAAATTAACTGATCTGAATCCGATGCATGATTCTAATAATATATTATATTAATATACATGTATAAAAGCAAATGGTGATATTATATGGAGAAGGTTTAGCTTTAGTTACAGTGAGTAAAACAGAATTTTCCCTAATAAAGCTCAGTTTGAAAAGAGTATAAATATAAATATATATAAAATAAAATAATACAAAATATAAGGTTTTGCATTCTACATATTTGTATTTGTATTCTTTTAAATTCAGCCTATAAATGATATGCCCCAATCATATCAATATTTGTGTATCAATGTCGAAAGTTCAAAATATGATACATTTAATGTAAGTCATATTTTATCAACTTTCATGATAAATTTGGCATAGTTTAGGTTGAAAATATCGCAATATATCGGTGCATATCATAGATATGTATTTACTTTCAGGGTCATTGATACCTAAGTATATGCAGATTCAGGCCACTACTGATAAAGCCAACATTCTTGTTCTGGCCATGGGAACCTTGATGATGACACAGGTGACAATGTCCTTGACAATGGGGGTTTATTCAAGAGCAAATTGATTATATTTTGCAAAATTGCTCCTACATGCCAACCAAAAGGAACAAATGATTTGACAATGAGATTAATAGAGAGAGAGAAATAAATACTTGAGACCTACTGGCGTGTGAAATGAACGACATTTCATAGGACAAAGAAAGAAACATCATCCTCTCTGGAGCTTAGGTCAGATGGAGACCAGATCTCCTGTAAACAAAACGCATTGAAAATATCTCTTGTACATAAATGATATTCCCAATGTGTGACTAAATTCTCATATTTCATATGCGTCACACAAAGTGATCATTATTTCCACACACTAGAATCCAACCCCCCCCCCCCCCCCCCCCCCAAAAGAAAAAAAAGAATCATCTTTTATATTTTATTTTTAAGGAATAGCCGGTAGGCAAAGTTATTATTTATGGAGTTCGGATCTTCTTCTCACAGAGCGCATCTCACAACACGTATCAGATGTACACTTGGAACATCTTGTACTTATAAATTTTTAATTCATGGGAAGATGTTCCAGACATGGTTTTTAAAACCGGACTGGACCAGAAAAAATAGGAACCGGTCAGATGATCAGTTCCATTTTACCCTATAACCGTTATTTTGCCAAAAACCATTGATTTGGTTAGTAAATCGCTGATTTGGGCGATCGAACCATTTGAACAGTCCAACGGTTTTAGCCGTTTTTATTTTTTTTAATTTTTTGTCAAAATGGGCCATCCGTTTGATTTGAACGGTCAGACCATTCAACCTGAAAACCGAATCGCTGACCGATTCGTTGTCCAATTCGATTTTAAAAACATTGATTCCAAATGCACAGTTGATAAGTACTATGAAGTTAGTGTGAAGCGGGGTCTCTGAGGAGCAGATCTGATCTCTATCTCTTGCTCATGACGTGGTGAATTACGCAAACATAGATGTTGATGGGTAGGGATCGGAATTGGTTTGCCTCACTATCAAAAAAAAAAAAGTATTGGTTTGCCTTAGTGCACCCTACCGACTTAACAAAATTCAATTTATGAACCCGCCCTAAACTATAGGGCTCAAACCGTTACCAACCTGGTCTAACTAACAGATTACTAATTATAATTTTTTTGTGATAATTCTTTCATTTATGCTTTTTTTTATGTTATTAATTATTAATTAGAGTATGTTGATTGCATTATTTGTTTATTCGTAACTGATCCTCACAGTCTCTTGCAGCCATGCATTGGGCATATCTTCTCATGAGAAAAAAAAAATATAGAGATATTCCCAATGCACGGCTGCAAAAGGATGTGAGGATGTGAGGATCAAATCCTATCTCATTATATAGGCTTGCCAAATTCTATCATATAGCCAAAACACTTGAGAGGAATGGACATGGAGGACCAATGTCCAATTAGATGTGAAGAAAGTAACAAAAGTGATACATTTACCATTTATGCATATTATGGTATCTGCTCCTTACAAAGCTCTTCTCACACCAACTTTACAGCGTGTTCTAGCCGCATATTGGGAACATCTCCCATACTTGTATTTGTTATTCATGGGATGTTCCCATTACACTAGGATGATGAAACCTAAGCCTTACTCAGGGCAAAAGCACTGAAACCTAACCCGACCTTACACCTGAAAAAAGCCTGCCTTGAATCCAACCCTATCAAGTACTATTTAACCCGACCCATTAACACCCCAAAATATAGACAATCTGAACTATCAAATTAACATTCAATCACTTGCACCCCTAAACCCAACCTAACCCGGCCCGACTTGCACCCTCAAACCTCACAAGATAGACTCCTGATGTGTCCGACATGTGGCTGCAAGTGCTGTGAGGAACAAATCCAGATTCTTTTATGCTTTTCTGCTTTTTAGGTTTAATCAGAAACATAAATGGGATGGACGAGCAGATGTGATAGGGATAAATGTGGTTATTAAATTAAGGACAACTTCCATCATAGCCACAAATGGTTAACTAACGGAAGGTAAGGTATCTTATAAGTAAAATTTCTGACCGGGGTGTCTCTGGTGGAGATATCAAAAATGAGGGTAAGTTTAAAATAATAATCTAAAATGAAAAGTAACCTGAAAACGTTCGAAGCACAATATAACCCATTCCTCCATTGTTGGAGTTCGGATGGGCTCCCCATGGAGCCATAGGCAACCCACAGCTCATCCCCCCTCATGGAGAGATGTTCCGAATTCACGGGAGGGATGTGTTGTGGGGCACGTGTGGGGAGACCATCCGATCTCTCACTGTTGGCACCTTCAAGAAGGCTCATTCAAAAGCACAATATAACCGTGAAGGTAAACTTCTTATTTATTGTTATATTTAAGACTACCTTTCAAATTCAGGTTTGCTTGACAACCCTTAACCTATAATTATTTGATATAAAACCTACAAATAAGAGGATTTGAACTTTTGGCATTTCCATTGATAAACAACAAACCCACCACTCGTCACTTGCTTATCATAATTTCAGCCAAAAATATTAAAACAAATACTGTTCTATTGGAATCGAAATCAAAATCAAAATCCTTTAAAATTAAAAGAATCGGAATGATCTATTCTTATAATCTGTTTGGTTCAAACAGGAATCAAAATGGGAATTGAAATAATCTGAAATGAGGTTTCATTCCAAAGGGAGGGGGAGGGAATGGCCATTCCCTCAAATGGGAGAATGTTATTCAACCAAGGATGGAAATGGGATTTCGATTCTAATTCCAAACCTCTATTCCCTCGAACCAAATATGCCTTCAATGATGCACTTACTAACTCCTTAATTAATTAATTATCCTTAATGGGGTTGATTTTTCCACTATTATCCTTTTTACAACCAAACAATAGAACATGAAAATTTTCACTCATTTTTCTTTTTCTTCCCATCCCACCAAGATTTTCCCTTAAATCAAACAGTCTTGGGGAATGCACTGATGGAGATAATCTACCTCACTCCTTTTTTGTTAATTAGTGAAAGAATGTACCTTGAACCACAAGCATAAATCCTTCTCGCTGTTGTTTACTCATTTATTTTTGAGTAAATTTCTTAAACTACTCTTATGATTTAGTGAATTGACTAAATGTACCCTTATTATTTGAAAATTGACTAACACCACCCCTACTGTTTCTGACAATTGACTAATATTTCCCTTGTCCGTTAACGCAAGCATTAAAAAAACTATTTTGCCCATCATTCTTCTTTACACTCTCAAAATGAAAATTTTGACACTTTATCAGATTGTCGAGACTTATCTCCACTGCTCTCTCTCTCTCTCTCTCCCGCCCCCGCTCTCCCTTGTTCCACCGGCCCAAGTTACCTCTGAGCACATTCAGAGGTAGCGGATGAAATTTTGATTCCACACATGCCCCCCCTCTCTCACTCTCTCTTCTTTCTCCCTCATCTCTCCCATGAATAGAGGAATCGATGAACCAAGTCCAAAACTCAAAATGTTGATTGTGAGTTTGAATAGAGGTCGACTTCAACGTTTTAGGACCAGTTCTATGTTGCCGAAGAAGGAAAAAATGACGTTGATTACATGAAAGACAGTGTTGCCGATGAAGGACCAGTTGCAGGTGACAACCATTGCTGCACGATGAACTGGTTCAATGCTTGGGTGAGGTGGATAACCTCATCACCTCTGGTTCAACATTGTAATGGAGATAATGAACAGGGTATCAGGCAAGAGGTTGGGGATGATGGATGAACAGTGTTTGATGAACTATGCCAAAATCTGATTTGCGAGGAGGTAGAAAATCTCACTGCCTCAGATAATGAACTGAGTATCAGATTTATGGGAGATTGGGGACGATGGATGAATAGTGTTCAATGATGAACAATGCTGAAATCAAAATTACGAATCAGTAGACAGGCATGGTGAGTCACCGCCGCAAGGTTGAACCAAGAAGGAAAGAGAGAGAGAGGGGAAGAGATGGGAGAGCAGAACAAGGTTCGCCGCCAGCTCTGTTCGGTGTTGTGACCTTGAAGAAGCTGAACAGGGCCGATGTGCAGTACTGTATACATCACATCTTTACCCTTCTTATAACTTCGACACCGGCATATGCATTCTTCCTAAACCCTACCTCCAGTCTCTCTCTTATTTTTCTCTTTCTTCTCACAGTTTTCATCCCCTGTCACCGACTTCAGCCAGCAAAGTAACTCATTTGCTTAAATGCTTTGGTCCTTCAACATCGACAGTTTAACAGTCCAACTATCAAAACCAACCTAACCCAAACCTCGACAAAAAAGAGACCCGCCTTTCAAATTCAATCCCGAGTTCCTGACCCAAAACTCGAAAGCTATATAAAAAGCCAGAATTCTCACCAGAAGAAACGGTTGGCCAAAAATGAAAGTTCGTTATCATAGGCTCTTCCATGCTTCTCCCTCCAAGTCCTCCCCTCCATTCAACCAAGCAAAAGCACTCGTCACTGAGTCCCACTAGACCTCCCACCAAATTATCATGCTCATTCCACCTCTGCTCACAAATGTCCATCAAGATCTGATGCCACACCATCGGAACTGCTTGAAACGCTAATGATCGTTGAGACCGTTTTGGTTTCCGAAACACCACATTGGCAGTTTGTTGCTTCACTGAGTGTGAAACTTGTATCTGCGGGGGTTTCAGGTTTTCTTCATGATGGCAAGAGACAAACTGTCATTGATTTTTTCTATAGGGTCAATAAGCTAGGGCTTCGCCCATCAGCTCTGATCGACGACTCGAAAAGGAAGCTTCTTGCATGAGAATGTCACCTGCTTGCAAATGATGAGCAATTTGAATGGTTATAAGAAGGGTAAGTTGGGTATTTTTGAAAGTTATAACAGTAACGTAATACATATTTGAATGGTTTATGACAAAACGTTAACAGTAAAGGAAGTATTAGTCAATTATTAGAAATAATAAGGGTAGCATTAGTCAATTTTCAAACAGTAAAGGTATACTTAATCAATTAACTAAATCATAAGGGTAATTTAAGAAATTTACCCTTTATTTTTTCTATTCTATTAATTTTTTGTATGCACGGATTGCATATGCTTCTGGATTCACATCGTTAACCCCCCCCCCCTCCCCCCACAAAAAATAAAAAAAAGACAAACATTAGAATCATTGCTCTAGAGAGGTATTGGCTCTATGGAGGACTTAAATTTTGGAGGGTTTAAGGGTTTAGAGTTTAGGTTCAGAATTCAGAATTAACAATTTAGGGTTTAAATATAAAAATCAAGAGGTGGTCAGCGCGAATGGTAGGAGCGAAGTAAAGCCCTGCTCTAGAAGAGGGGAAATTCTACAACTACAACAAGCTGCCAAGGATATCAGACAGTCGATTTTTTTAAGTAGCATGATCAGAGAAGATATATAGTCGAGAACAGTGCATCCCTTGGTGCCTACTGTCTTGTGAACAGATCTCATAAGCAATAGAACTTATACAAATATCAAATAATAAAATGAAAAGTAAGGAAGAAGGTTAATCGATAACAAAAACTAATATTGATAATCGAAATATGAAATGGGCTCTCTCTCTCTGCAGTTGACACCATTGATATTCAGCATATCTAACAAGTAATGTCTTGCTTCCTAATTGGTGGAAATGGGCATGCAAGGTCAAAGAACCCAAAATATGAAATATGAACACTATAATCTGCTCTCTACCCATTAAATTGCCACCTCTTCCTCTGCATATGCCTATAAAAACATGCATGTAATTTCTTTCCCTATGCCTTATTAAACATGATAAGAATTGACATAGCTCGACTCTAGACTAACATACTCACAAATGGCATTAGATAACCTGTGATTGCACCTTGGCCATCTTATTCTGCCTGAAGTTGGGCAAACTCAAAACCAGCAATCTACTCTATCTTTTGTACACTGAATGTTCAATAACCAGATCACCTGTGAGCAGATGCATGCGGCATTGGATATGTCATTGGAGCCATGCTTACTGGGGCACCAGGAACTACAGATCCAGGAACTGGAGGTCTCACACCATATGCCATGTGTGCTGGGGCAGGAAGGTTCACCGGAGTTCCAACAGCTGAAACAAGAGGACCTCCAATTGGTTGGCCTATGGTAGTAGTGCCATACACACCAACTCCAGGAGCACCAGGTGGGGGCTGAGGTGGTTGTTTGTTGGATTTACCAGAAGATGCTCCTGCACTGGGTGCATTAGTTTGACCTGTGATCGGCCCTTGGGTAGCTGATATGTCTCCATTTCCCACACTAGTGATATCATGGATGCTTGCTCGTCTCCTATCTTTGTTCATTGAGTTCAATCGGATGAAATACTTCTGTGCATGACTTGCCACCTGCGTAGGCGTCCTGGACACCACAAAATTTCTTGATATACTCCTCCAATCTCCCTTCCCATATTTGTCCAATCCAAGAAGAAACAGCCTATTCATAATAGTAATAATAATAATAAGCGCACAGAAGTTAATACATTAAAAAAAGTAACACAGCAAATACTACAAACACTCCACTACTCTCATGGATAGAACTTATTAGGGAATGTCATGCATTGTAATAAGATGAATGCATACATCATACATGACAGCATTGTCTTTGTATCTTACCAAATATTCAGGTTATGACCAATAAGTTTAGGGTTAGGTCTGTAAATTGATTTTAACATCCCTTGCTGGCTTATGTTAAAGGATAAAAATATCCCTTATGTTATCCTGCCGTCAATCACTGTTGACAACTAGCGATGCACATGACGTAAGAAATTATTTAAATCCCCAAACTGCCCTTATCTAACATTATAAAAAAAGCATGTAACATTTTACAAGCCACTACAAAGTGTATGAAACCATTGTATAAAAAAACTCCCAGGCACCATTTTATTAGCTTTAGGAGCACTGAAACATGGATTGTCATATGGCAAGATCCAAATAAACGGATCATACACATGGTATGCTAAGATCCAATATATAATCTGGCTATCCACGTGGAATGCTAATTCTACGATGATCTTGACCATCTAAATAGAGTAACATGAGGAGACCTGAATTTGGGCCCTTGAGTAGTGTGGCAAGGTCTGATTCATCCTTTCAGTGCTCTAACCATCCAATATTAATGTGAAGTAAACTGCCAAGATACAAACCCTGACAAAGGCCATCTAAGTGGTGTGTCAATATATAAACTTTGATCCATCATCACTTCGAAAACACTAAAGCAACAGTCCCAACCAATCCTTCCCTGTCACAAATCTCTACCAATACACTGACATTCTGGTTCAATAGTACTTTTCTTGGTAATAAATAAAAAAGAAAAGTTATTCAAGAAAGAAGAAATTACTAAAAGGTAATAAGAAATCACCCACAGCAAGAGAAGAAAGAAGACATACCAAAGGATTGAAGTTGCTAGATCTGGTAAAGACATTTTCATCTCTCAAAGGAAGTACATCCTAGATCTACTCCAAGATACAAACAAGCTGGGTTCACATCCATTGAGCTGAACCATAGACATGGTGGCTGTAGTGGTAAAATTGTCTCCGGTATCAAGCGGTATCAAAGGTTAGTGTAGGGACTGTTATATTTCTCTATGACCAGGTTTGATAATAGCATATGTCATGGCTATGCTTAATCAAGACATGCATCCACACAAGGCTATTCACTTTCCTTCTGTTGAGGGATGGTTCACATTTCACAATATTGGCAATATTTTAGTGAAATTTCTCCAAAATTTCCACATTTTGCTAGGGGCAATATGAAATTATCTGGGAATCTTTTTTTCCTATCACCTCTAATATACTGTTGATATGTTGGCAATATTTCAGATTTCATTGATAGACTATGCATTTATGGTTTAAATTAGAAAATTTCTAATATTTCATTAAATTAACATACTTTTTTAAAAATACTTTCCTAAAAGAACAAATGGGATTCGGCAATTGAATGATTGGTTTACTATTTTGATGCAATTCACTAAGTTGATACAATTCAAAAGAAAGAACACAACTACAAAAGAGGATTCTCAATCTAATAAAAACATATAGTGACAAAAAATACAAAGGTCAAAATGGAAAATAAACAACATACATAATAAAGAGGAGATAGATAAAAGAAGGGAAGGGAAGGAGAAAGATACCTATCAAAGCCTCTTAATCTTCTCTATTTAATTGATACAGCTGTTTACTATGGATTTTTTAGCCTTAACCATGCAATTATGCTTCTTCTAACGTTTCCTTTAAAGTTTTATTAACAAATTCCATGTTTTTAGCAAATATTCTTGACTTTTTAGATTTTCTAAATATCTTAGCAAAATATCCCCATCCCTACATGGCGGAATGTCCATTAATACTCGAATCGTGTACCATGTTCTCAAGTACTTGAAGAAACACCCAAGAAAAGGTACTTTGTTTGCTAGACATAGTACTTCAGAGTAAAAGCTTACAATTAAGTTGATTGGGCTGGGCTCTAATGATGATAAGAGATCTACTACCCACTATTGTACCTTCGTAGGAGGTAACCTAGTGACTTGGTGAAATAAAAAACAGGCAGTGGTTGCTAGATCCAAGTGCCAAAGTAAAGTACCATGCCATGGCACATGATGTAGCTTGGGATTTTGTAGGTAAATAATGTGCTACCTGAATTGGGATTCCCTATTGCTAGTCTCATGTCTCTTTACTGCAACAAGACTACACTCAGCATAACACATAATCCTGTCCATTTATTTGGTGTATTTGGGATTAGCTTTCCTCTCTCTTTCGGGTTGAGTGGAAGTCAAGCAGCTTGGACAAGTTGTTTGAACCATCTACTTTCAGGTTCCCAAAAAGGAGAGGAAGTCTATTGTGGAGATACACCAAAGGCTGCGTTTTAAGAGGAAAAGAACACTCGAACTTTCGAGGATAAGGAGAGAAGTTTTGGAGGCTATCATTGAAACCATCACAGTAAGAGTGGCACATTGGGTGAAGACTTTGGACCTCCAGCCCCAACTCTCCCTCAATATTTTCTGACAGCATTCCAAAACCCAAAAGAACAATACAAAGAGACCCAACCCAAAAATTAAGACAAAACCAAGGACAATTACACAGTGATACCAATCCCAAAAGCCACAAAACATACCCCCTAGCTTCCCAACCCTCCAAAGTACAGCCTCAAAACTATTGAAAAGAGCCCAAAACCAATATCAAACCTTTGATTCTTTCATGTCAACTTACTTTTGATGTTTTCTAGTCACTACGCCAACTAGAGAAACAAGATAATTTACAAAAGAATAGGGAAACAAGGTAACATCAATCAGTTTTTTTATATAAAAAAATCATTGCCCAGGCGACGCCTAGGTGAGTTAGTTGCTTAGGTGACAAGGTGCTCTACTATCACCCAGCTTTGACTTAGCACATTAGAAAGTAGAAACTAAACTTTTGAATCAATCCATACTTGGTCAACTAAAACCAGGATCCCAACAATCTGGAAAGTGGAAACACAAGAAACATGATAAATTTAAAAGAAAATTCATAGAAATTTTTTACCATTGAAATTTTGAAATGGTCAAATCAGAATCATAATTATAATTCTCAAATTTTCAGTCTGAGTGTTTTTTTTGCCAATAAAATAAAATTTATTCAAAGGAAAAAAGAAGATTACAAGGTAACCAAGTCACCCAAGAGAAGAAATAAAAATAAACCACCCACCAACAACTACTCCAAATCTATCACTCTACATAAAAACAACACTCCGGCCATCAAACCCACCTGGAACAGAATCAAATGTCCTCAGTCCCCTTTTATGGTTTTTTCATCTTCTGAGTTATCAATTCTAAGTTTATATGAAGCTAAACATTGAAAAGCAATACCATAATTTATAAAATACAGATAATACTACTTTGTGCAGGCAGGGCAGTCCTTCTTAATCTGCAGCTACTTCCCTAGTTCCACTGGCATTAAATGGGCTAAAAGAACATTCCAAATTATAAATTAAAACATAGTGGATTTTTCACTCAAGCTAGGTAAACCACTATAGTATGCTCATGTTACCATGTGATAGAAATTTCAGTGCTAAGAATGTTAATTATGAGAACCATAGACTGATTACCCTGGGACCCATTCTATACTGTTTCCATTGCCATGACACGAGTACCTAGGTTTCAATATCCTCCTCTCCTTTTGTTGGTTTAATTCTTCTCTTTAATATCTTACTATGACTTTTGCATCACAAATTTAACAGCTTCTCTAGCGTAGGGAGAAGCAACAAAAACATGTAGATAAGATAAATTGAACCAAAAGAAGAAAAATGGGGGTCTAGAAGCACAAGAATATGACCAACTACCATGTTAAGGCATTCAAGAAGAAAATCCTAACCCAAACAAGATAAAGTGGGAGTATGGAGACATGATAACATGACCAACTACTATGTCAAGGGCATTGAAAAGAAAACCAAACTCATGTTTAATCTATTTTTAGACTACCAGAAAAAGTGCCAACAAAATTGATAACCATCCCAATCCATGGGGGTGGCAGATGTGAATCCCTTCTTAGGATAAAATAGATGCAGAAAATACAGAAGAAAGTCATATCGGTGTTGAGGTGATATAGAGAATCAAGTTTATTTTCATTGACCACAACCAAAGAGACTTTAGTAATAGATATAAGTGTAAAACATCTCATTCACCATTTCAGCCAATCATATCATATTGGATACTCAGATTATAGTTCAATTTTCAAGTCATGGCATACTCCACGGGTTTTGGTTCCCAAGTAAATGACTTGTTAGTTATCAGAAATATTACCCATGGAGCAGCAGGATTCCAAAGCAGGGATTCATAAAGCAAGTCCAAGCTTTATGCAACTCAAGAAACAGGAGTTCACCAAAGCTGAATGCTAGTCAAAAGAAAAGAAAAGAAAAAGTAACCAAATAGCTCTAAATTAAATAATTCTAAGTGGAGGAAAACAGATACTAGAAAACAACTTTCACAGAAAACATAGTATTAAATTACTAGTATAGAGACCTATAAATCAATAAAGTAATGAAATAGTAACCAATCTCTAACTAAAGTGATAAACAACTGTTTCTTTTGCAGGAGATAACTATATTCCAGAAAATAAATAAACACCAACAAATATAAGTTCACCTGTGCTCATCTTCTGTCCAAGCTATCCCCTTTCGACGTTCTTGATCTGACCTCAATGACTTCCCTCCATGACTAGAGTCACTCTGGAAGTTGCCAAAATTACTGCCCTTTTTAGCAGCCCCAGAATCATTTGAATGGTCCATCGAACCCTCTGAAGAAGAAACATAGCAAGGCAAAGGCACACGGCCAGACTCAATCCCATTAATGTCTTCAACTAAGAGTTCATAATGATGTTTGACCTCATCAGGAGTTTTCCCTGGTACAGATGCTGCAATCTTCTCCCATCGATCCATAGAATCCTCAGGATGGGTTGCCAAAGCATTCTCAAAAGCTTTCTCCTGCTCCCTACTCCACAAGGAGCTAGGACCTTCCTCATCTGTAGTCATCAAGCCTAGTTTTGATTTGCTTCAAAGAGTTTCATCCAGAGGGAAAGGAACTAGGAAGGGAACCACAAAAGGAAAGAAGAAATCTACCAAAATACTCTGAAATCTTGGCCAAACCCAGTTCCAAGATCATAAAGACATAAGAAACCAAGAACTTTTCCTTTTTCTCCCCCTTTTCTCTTTATGTCCAGTATAAAAACAAAAGGTTGTCTGGATTTTCTAGAATAGCTCTTGAAGTTTGGATCTGAATTATTGCTGTGAGAAACATCTACTCGTTTGCTTATTAGGCAAGAATTAATTTAGATGGTAAGATTTGTAAAGTAGCATTTTTCATTTTTTTTCTTTCTTTTCTTTATTGAAAAGAGACAAGGATGGGAGCAGAGGGATCAGACCAGAGGGATAAGCATAGAGAAATCAAACAGACCTAAAAAGAGACAAGGAACCTTCAACATAAACCACCTCCCATAGTAACAAAAGCAAAAAAGAAGAATTCAATAGAGATTTCCTCCGCAGTAGGAACTGGGCATCTGAAGTCTGCAGACCTATCGACAAAAAATGCAATAGAATTTTGTTAGAGCATGAGAAATATCTGATAACCCCAAGAAATGATTCAACAAATACACGAGTCGAAAGAAGATAAAAGAAAGGAAACCGGGGATTTGAAAAGAGCCCATACAAAAATAAATAAATGAATAATAATAATTAAGTGCCTGCAATTGCTAATACTTAAATATAATTTCCAAATAGCATTTTAGAGTGTAAATCCAGTTGAAAGATGACCTTTTTACAAGTATTGTTTTGACAGCCAGCCGATAGAAAAGCATTCCTCTATAAAAATCCAGCAAAATTTAACCATCCCATTACAGTGGATAACAGCACCATATACTTGGGTTTATTCTCTTTATTAGAATAAACAAGGAACAAAGCATAAAAAAATAAAAATAAACTTTTGCATACAAACAGTGTAAGAGTCGGAAGATTTTTCCTTCAGAAACGCATACAACAAAATGGAGTTCAAATACAAGATACCTACCTTAGATTTCAAAACCTCTCCAAACAGTACAAAGTATTAATGATACCTTAGTTTTTAACTATGATTACGACACCCCACCTCAAAATATCCATCATTTTCAATGACGAAGATCTTTACAGTAAAACTTGCATAACAATTTCCGTATTTTAACCATGATTATAAAAACCCATTTCCATATTTCTGGTCCTTTTAGTGTTTGACGTTTAAAACCTTCGATGATGATGATGATGATGATGGTAATAACAACAACCACAACAAGGTGACAATTTAGAACTCATGATAGTACATCTTTTTTTTCTATAACAAAGTGTATTAAATAGAAGCCTAGCCTTTAAGGGAAGAAAAGCCTAACCTTCAAGAAGCAAGACATTCCTCTAACAACAAAGAAAAGCAGTTAAAATTAGTAACAGATTCCGTGGTTAAGATGCCAGGAAAATCGTTTTCTTTGCTATTTCTGCCCATTTTATACTTCAAATCTTGTAAAAACAAGGGCCCCAAATCTAGGATGATTCCAAATGAGATGAGATGCTGAACTATGAGACCTAAATTTATACATCTCCCACAAAAGAAAAAAAAAAAAAAAAAAAACAGAATTAAAATAATAATTCGACAGCTGAAATGAACCTACAAACCCAAAAATTTAAATGAATTAACGTTTAAACAGAAGTAAAACTGAGAGATTTTAGCAAGTAGAGAACAAACATAAAAGAAAAAAAGAAAAGCTAAAAAACAAATTTCTAAGAAATGGAGATAGTACTAACCCTAACAGGGTTAGAGCAGTGAAAAAGTAGGGAACAGCCACTAGCCACATAACCTAGAAAAACAATATTTTCATGAACAAAACACCTCATAAATTATCCAAATTTGCAGGGGTAGGTCTAGAAATTTACTTGACGTTGATGGGTTATCATGAAGGATGCCCATGAAAAAGAAGGGTCGGTCCCCTATAGGAACAATCACTTGCAACGACAGCTGGGATTGATAAACGCCAAGTTGATTAAACGTTAAACGGTTAAAGTGGGAAAATTAGGAATCTTCAGACTTCAGTCCTGCATACACCATTAATATCTGACCGAAGAGAGAGAGAGAGAGAGAGAGATGGAGACCAGTCGCTTTTTCTTATCAAATGGTGAGAGAAAGAGAAACAAAAATATCCGTCAAGCGATGGGATAACGACCTGCAGTTTCTGCAACAAAATATATGAAAACAAACTAAAAGAAAGAGTTGAATAGATTTATGCGTCGTCTTCACGTTATCCTTGCTTGCGAGAAAAACATGAAACGGGTTTCAAGTTTCAACTTTCAAGCTCCGAGGGCAGAGCATCAGTGCCTCCCTCTACGGTTCTGAAATGGATACAGCTGCTGCTGATAGCAGGGAGCTTTGTTTGCATTAACCAGACTCCATAGTCGGGAATTCTTTAACATAATAAAATAATTATTTATTAATAAATAATTATATCCATATATCGCCGACACATAAAAAAAGGGGGGGAGGGTTGTTTGTAGGATAACCTACCCGGGGACATGGGACCCAGGTCAATTACTACGAGGGAAGAGATCCATTGCGCAGTCTGTAGTCTGTAAACTCTATACGACTGTACCCTGAGAGCTGATACAGTGATACCCACCCCTTCAGTGTCCTGGAGAGTGGAGAGGGAGAGCCACTTCTTTTCAAACACCTGTCCTTCCATTCAGAGTTCAAAGAGTTTTTCAACCCGGATGAAAATTTCAGAGCTTGCCCATTCACTTTTACATAATGGAAATTGGGAACCATATCGGTGTAAATGAAGAATGATGTAAAAGTTTACATGTGTTAGGTTTTATGGAGTGTAAATGAAAATAGATGTAAAATTCCACTTAGGTTTATATTTATTGGTGTTTGGATGGAATGGAGTTTTATATTGTGAATCGATGTAAACCTCATCAAGCATAAGTTTTATATTGATTATTGATATAAATATTATATCCATTTTATCCATGTAAAATTTTACACTTTTTTATCATTTTTTTAAAATGTAATGGTCATTTATTATATGGTTCAATGTAAAATACATTTATGTAATGGTCACCTATTATATGTTTTACAATAAACTGTATAATAGGTGATTGTTACATTTTGTCATTTTAAAAATCGTGATAAAAAAGTGGAAAGTTTTACATTGATAAAATCGATGTAGTATTTACATCAATAACCGATGTAAAAGTTTATGCTTGATGAGGTTTTAATTGATTAGTGATGTAAAACTCCACTCCATTCAAACGCCAATAAATCTAAACCGGAGTAGAATTTTACATTGATCTTCATTTACACTCCTTCTAAATGCCAACAAAACCGAACCAGTGTAAACTTTTACATCGTTTTTGATTTACACCAATTCCAAACGCAACTTAAGGGGTGATCATTCTTGGGTCGGCTCATAAGCCTGGCCCAGCCTAGCCCGAAAATTTTTAGGCCCGTGCCTATGTTTTTGTATCTGACGCCTGCTTGGCCTAGGCCCATATCAAGCCCATAAAATTCCAATCCAAGCTTGGGCCTAGTACTTCAAGTCCAACCCCCCTATATATGGCTTCAAATATATGTTACAGTATTTTTCATATGGCAATATATATATATATATATATGTATGTATATATTACTATAACATTTTTATGATAAAATAGAAAAAGTTTATCATATATATGACACTTGTTAACATACATTGTCAACACATGAGTCAACTTAAATGAGAGTTTCCCTCTTAAGCAAGGCCTTATATAAATGAAAATAAGGCTTTTATTCTCTTTCTGTAGCAATTTGGGACTTGGAACATAACACTACACACTACTAAACCTGTCCACAGGCTTGGTCAAGCCGCATCTGAACCAGGCTTTGCCTTTATATCAATAGAACACATTTAGGCCTGAGCTCGACCCCAGACCTCATATAAAGACCGAAGCCCAGGCCTAAGCCTGAAGCCTAGGCCTGAGCCCAAAACTCGAGCCTAGAATTGAGAAAAAAGATTCTTTTTACTCAACAACAAAACTGATCTATTTATATTAAATGATCTCATAACCCAAAAATACTGAAAAGTCTCACTATGGCTTGAGAAAAGAGAAGAGGAACAAGAAAAAATATTACATATATTTTTACTATATAAAAATATTATTAGGTTGGGCTCAAGCTTGTGTTGGGCTTTCTTGAGAAAGTTTAAGCCCAGTCTGAAAAAAAAGTTGGGCCTAGTGTTTTGGGCCCAAACCAAGTCCACAGGCCTAAGTTTATGTCCAAGTCTGACTAAGAACGAGATGGGTCAGGCTAACCCATTAGGCTACTTGACCCATGAATAGATCTACACACTACATTCACTATTTAGTGTCATTCAAAGTCCCATATCATTTATAAAAGAGAATGAAGGCCTTACCTTCATCTATAAATATGGATGGAAATTTCTACTTGAAGGACAAATTTTGGGGCAGGAAAGGATTTTAGGATTCTATAACTCGTATAGATAAGGGTAGGGTATGATATTAGGTTAAACCCAACCCTCCCTAACTCGCATATTGTTAGAAAGCATATAATTTTCTTTTTGTATTAGGTATTGAATTTAATAATATTTTGGATTTTATGTAAAGGATAATTGATAGTTTATATGTTTTTTACCTATCTTAATCAAATCATTGGAAACTATGTTATTTGTTCATATTATTTTACTTATTTGTTGTTTATATATAACAAGAAATAATGGGAAATTAGACACAAGTTCTAAACCCAATCCGCCCTACCCTTGAATGATGGGAGTCTAGGGTCGGTGGGGGTTTTGCATTTTCATGTGCAAAGAGGGTTGCGATTCTCAACATCCAACCTGCTGCAGGTTTTTTGGACAAGTACAGGCTGAGAGGTTTAGAAAGGTAGGTAGGATATAGAATTTACAAAACCCTCCTCGAACCCGCCCCATTTCCATCCATATTATAAATGGATAGGCAAGCTAACACAAGCCAAATATTGGAACTAAATGATGCTCATGCTTTGTTTTATTTTATTTTGTGCCATGGGCTCAAAGCCTAGCCTAATTTGGGGTAATGTAATATCTTTTATGCATTGTTCATTATTTAGTTTAAAGTTTTCAAATAATTAACTTTTTTTATAACTAGATGCCATAGGCTCATAATTAAGCCTAGCCCACCTCGAGTTTGTAGGCCTAAGGCCCATGTTGCACCTGAGCCTAGGCCCAGTTTGGCCCATATGCTTAGATGTGCTCAAAATCTTTTGTTCTTGGATAAGAAAGCAACTACAAAATTAGTAAAATAGATTTTAATTTTTAAGCGATTCAAAATACCTGAGATAAAGCTTTACACAGTGGCTTGGTTAGTAGCCTCATAACAAATAACAAATTTTGCCCACATAGTCAACGGTGTTGTGAGTTACTATGCTTACCACTCTTTTAGGAGAACTCACAGCCGAATTCCGACTTTCTATAATATGGACAACAAACATTGTTTTGAGTCTATATACCCAATTACCTGTATCAAATCTACCATATTAGTCCTTAATACTTTGCAAATATCTAAAGACTTTCTTAGCAACCCTGTAATGGTCCTTTACGAGTTCGAATTTAGTAGGCAGACAATATAAGCACACTAGGTGCTTATGAAATTTTGTGACACTTGTCCCATAAAATACCCCTACTCCTACCCTTGACTGCTTAATGAATGTGCTCACGATGGAGTGCCTAATAAATCCAGTCTCATCCTTTCCAGGGCTAATTTGATACCTTTTTAAAACACTTACTACAAAAGCAATATCCAATTGTGAACAAACTTGGGAATACATAAAACTCCCAACTACTGAGGCAAATAAGATTTTCATGGTTTATCAAAACTCATTAATCTAATAACAGTTTGATGTGTCTGATAATGAATTTTTAGTAGAAGCTTATAGATTGTTTGATATATTTATTAGTAAAATTGTCGTATGATATATTATTAGATTCCTCATTGATCTACATGTTCTAGATTCCCAATATTCTTGATTGTAAAATCTGCACTTTCGGCATCTTGAAGAAATTAAAAAAACAAAATACAAGTCAACAACTGAAGATACCTGATAATTTCCTCACCTGCACAATACCTACAAGTACATGACCACACGGAGTGCTTTGTATATGATATACAACGACAAGATAACTAACATTTCTAACAGAACCCTTTTGAGAGATGCAACTCTACAACCATTATCTGGTTGTGGAGATAACTACCACTCTAACATGAGACACTTGAGAACAAGTGGCCAAACCCAGCTAACCTGTTAAACAACTCCACACCCCCCGTTGTGTAGCCCCATGGAAAAAAAAAACGAAGTAACAAACAAACAGAATAAAGAAGGAAAAAGAACACAAGGCATATCAATCTAATCGATTGAGAAGTTAAATAGAACCTTGCCATACAATTCATACATCAATCAACAATCGATCTTCAAAGATTGAATCATCAAACAACCAACTAATATAACTCCTGTAATACATGAATTTCCTCGTTAAGTGAAATATTTTGAACTATAGAAAATTGGTGAGCGAGAAAAATTCCTGAGCTTTTTACTCAACGAATGACAAATTTCCTTTAGCATTTCTGTTGGTTGATCATGTATTTTCCTTCTTACTTTTCTCGTCCTTGTACCCAGATGCCTTTCCAGATCTACCAATGACAACTGAACGAGGTGAAGAATCGTCTTTCTCAATTTCAAGACCATGGTAAGATCTGGAAGCAAAAAACTCTGCCCCAGATTTAGCTGTCCCCTTTCCAAGAGAATAGGGATACTTGTCATACACTTGGAGACCTTTCTCTGCTGCCTCTGCTAGAGCAAATGATCTTTCCTCCTCTACAGTTCCCTTTCCTGGATGCTCGAATCACCACCATCACACAAAACTGAACCTTGTTAACGATATGAAAAGAAGACCATAATTACAGTCTAAACAGAAAAATGTCAAATCTAGCTTTAAATTTAGGGTAGTGAGCACACAGGCAATGCGCATATGGCAACTTTCATCGAAAGTAGGGGTAATCTAGTAATTCAATATGTAACTAGACTCGCATATGATATAAATAGAAGCTGGGCAATAGGTGGGGACTAGTTTTTAAACCCACCAATTCTCTCCAGCGCTCTTTTCCTTTGTTTCTTTCTACATTGTCACTTTATTTTTGGTTACCGTTCGGATATTTTATGGCAACTTTCATCGAAAGTACATAAAGAGAAAAGATAACCACCTTGTAGCTCAAAATCTTCTACATAGCCACCTTGAAAGAAGGAAAATCGGGCTTCTTCCTCTTTATTACCAACTTCCAGTGAAGAAGAGGCAACCAAATCCCCAAATTCCATCACATATGCTCCAGTCCAGTGGCTTCCTCTAAAGAGAAAATAAAAGCATAAAACAGGAGATGATAAGAAAATCAGTTAGTAAAGCAACTTAGATGAAAGAATTAGGTTACAAATGACAGTCCTGTTTTGCAGCAGATGACAAGGACTACTTTATGCCTTCATCAGCATATGATATTGACTGGAAGAACCCCCAGGGGCCCACCCAGAAAAAAAATCAAGTAAAACTTCCTCATCCCCGTGGTTTCTCCTACAAACTGCAGTACATATTGCACTGGTGTTGTAGACTAGAATATGATGCAACCAACCAGTTTCAGCTTGCCAAGGATCGGACTTTCTATCTAAACATATATTAATGTAGAGATAGTTAACAGCTCTTAGTGTGTGTGTGTGGTTCCAGCCCCACACTTATTTTATTTTATTATTTATTTCCCTTTTATTACAGTTGGGCCAGATGGGCCTTGTTTATTAGTCTTTTATTTTAAGTAGGGGTACTAGAGTAACTCCTACTTTTGTAAGGACACAAATATATATAATATCTAATGGGGCGGCAGATTTTTCTAACTGAACCCCCCCTCTCTCTCTCTCTCTCTCTCTTTTCTTCTCTTCGAAGCCTAGTTTTTCTTTTCTTTGTTTTATTTATTTTATTCAAGTTGGTATCAGAGCTCTTGGCGAGAAAAGACTAGGGTTCTCATGTGAGCCTGATCCGGTTGGCTACATGAGAATTCTTTAGAACAAGATCTTCTGCAGTAGTGCCTGGTTCTTGGAGGTTGAGATTGCCCGGTGACCAGGAAGAATCAAAGTTTTTAGGTGCAACCAAGATTAGGGTTTCAAACTAAGGTGGCGATCAGAGTTTTTTCTGAGTAAGGTACAATCTATAGTTAAGCCGATCTTGGTTAGAAGTTGTCAAGACCTCTTTTAAGCAGCGGCTGATAAATCTGGGTATTCCCCACTGTTTTCTCTCTTGTCTAAAACCCTTTGATCTTCTTTTGAGGATTCAAGGACTGTTTTTGACTGTTAATGAACTAGAAAGTTGACCTTTGACTGTGATTGCATTCTTGGTAAGAAGTTGTCGACTGAGATCAAGTTCTTGGTGTCTATTCTTGCTGTGATTAAATTCTAGGTTGTTTTTTCTCTAAATTTCTTAGTGTTTCAGCAGAAAAGAATCTCTTTTTGGTTGTCTTCTTGGAGTTTTTTGGCCTGTTAGTGCTCTACATAGAATGGAGAAGGTTGGAAGTCAGTTAAAAACACAAGGGGAAGGATTTTTTGGGACTGATAACATGACTGAAAACTCATTTCAGATTACCACTGTTAGGTTTGATGGAACTTGGAGTGGGCCCAATCAGCAATGATGGCCATTGGAGGTAGAGGTAATTAGGTTATGTGACCGGAGACACAAAGAAGCCAAACAAGGAAGATACATCACATCCGAAATGGGTTCAAGAGAACTACTTGGTAATAACTTGGCTATGCAACTCTATGCAGCCCCACATCAGCCGAAACTACCTTTGGGCAAAAACAGCCAAGAAGATTTGGGATAGCATGAAGGAGAGTTATTCTCAACCTCTTAATGTTGCTAGAGCTTATGAGCTGAAGTGTGAAGTGAATAACCTCAAGCAAGTGGAGAAGCCAATCTCAATGTACTTTGCTACTATGAAATCCCTTTGGCATGAAATTGATCACTTGGAAACTATTGGGTGGGAAAGTCAGAGGGATGCAGTGACATAGAAAAATGATTGAAACAAATAGTGTGTTTGAGTTCTTAGCCGGTCTAAACTCAGATTTTGACATTATAAGACAGCAATTTCTTACTAGGGAGAGTGACTTTATCTCAAGCCTACTCATTGGTTCACAATGAAGAGAATTGGAGGAAGGTTATACTATCATTTTAGCCTACAGAAGCAGCCTTGGCAGCAACAAAATCTAACGTTGGAGGGGAAAAGGAAAGGGAAATTAAGAAGGAAAACAAAAGAGAGATTTTTTGTGATCATTGCAAGAAGCCTACACACACCAGGGACACTTGTTGGAAGTTGCATCCTCACCTAATGCCAGTGAGACTTAGAAACAAGAAGGGGGTGCTAATGTGGCAACTACTACAGATAGTGCATCTACTTCCAGCACACGGACCACATCCTTAGATGCCTTAGCTATTGTCCGGGCTGCATTGACACAGCTAGAGAATGAGACTGGTATTCCTGGATCATCATCTCTGTCTTCAGCCACCACATCTGCTCATCCTACTTCAGCCCTTGCTCACATAGGTACAAGAGCTACAGCATATCATACTTCAGTCCCAGGTAACACTAGACCATTCTGGGTAATAGATTCAGGAGCTTCAGACCATATGACCAGTTTATCTACCATGTTTACCACCTATTGTTTATCCTTTGGCAGAGACAAAGTATCTACTGTTGATGGCTCCCTTGTGCCGATTTTTGGCAAGGGAGACATCAGACTGTTGGATGCCATCTCCACAGGGGAAGCAAAGTGAAGTTGGGAAATTGTTTGTTTCTCAGTCATGGAGTCAGATTATGCTTTAGCATAATCGTTTAGGTCATTTGTCTTTTGGGTCTTTGAAGAATTTGTTCCCAAATTTATTTGAGTCAATTCAAGTGTCTAGTCTGAGGTGTGAAAGCTATGAACTTGCAAAACATTGTAGATCAACTTATCCTTTGAGCAATAAAATAAGCAATCTTCCTATTGAAATTGTGCATACAAATGTTTGGGAGCCATATCTTCCTTTTGAAATTGGTCACATTGGTCACATGTAAGTAGAAGTATATATAAATGCTGATTGGACTGGATGTGTTTGAAAGCTGAACCACTGTAGTCGAAGTAGCAGAGAAGAGGAGAAGAAGAAGAGATGCTGAAAATGTCGAACTATATTAGCCAGTCGACCAGTTCTTTATTTATAGATGAATATAGTACAAGGTACAAGAAATTACTGGGATGCCCCTGATTAGTGATGGGACACCCAGATGACTTAAATCATTAAACAGGATTAGGCC